TGTGCTCTTCCGATCTTATCTTGAATAGTTTTCGAGATATAACAAAAGAAAAAAAGAATTAATTAACATATAAGGGGTGGATTCATCCCTTTAAACCGTTTTTTAGCATCAACTGATAATTTCTAAATTCATCTATTTATGTAACCTCAAAGTGTACCAAGTTTCATTAAAATCAGAATTTGACACTTCGCGAGGTTCCCTTGTTAGAATCTTTCTTGCGTAAATATGACAGGAAAGTTGGCTTTAAAGTCACGTAAACTTTTTCGCAATACAAACGCCAGGAACAAACGAAAATTGTGAGCGATTTAGCAAAACGCGATTAAACAAAACTGCGTGCAATAACCTTTATCAAAATAACGACATCTCGAATTGCGATAAATAGCGCATTCGATTAAGCATGCCGTAAATTTCGTCGCGCCGACCATTTCGGTACCGCAAATATTTTTTTCATCGTTTCAAAGGAATATTTATTTTCCGTTTTACCAAAAAAAAAAAAAACATATCCCACTTTGTTCACGCGGTAATCGGAAAATTGGCAAAACCATCACGTATAATAATCGTAGTCCATTAAGTATCTGTAATTTCAGATACCGCGCGCCGCGAGCGACAAGATTTTTAATTTAATCAAGATACACTTTTTGTTAGTGCACCTTTTTCACTTTTTACGTTTTTGGAACTGATTTTATGAGACCTGTTTCGCGAGTAACTTATCGAATCGATTATATCACGCGTATTGAACGCACGTTGATGCGTGCGCGCGACAGTGGATGAATCGCGCGCGCACGAGTGCGCGAAGGGCCGACGAAGGGTGAATCCGGAATTTCTCGCTGGACTCTCGCTGAACATCGCAAATAGCACGATAGCACGTGTACAAGTAGAAACGGCGGAGAAAAGAGAAATGTATTCGAGAAAGTGTACTCACCTCCGTGCGCTGCGATAACCTCTTGTTCAGCTCGTGGAGCCTGTAGTCCGGTTGGCTGTAGCCATAGGCTGGAGTGTGCCTCCTGGGGACAGGCAACGATCTGTCAGATCAGACCGATCGCTCATGTTAGGTGTGCTGTGTATAGCGTGTTACTTTCGCGTGTGTGCGTCGCGAAATGTTTCATGCATGCAACGCGCCCCCCCCCCCATCCCTCCCTTCCTCCACCCATCCCATCGTTCCCATCGCGTTGCGTCGCATTTCGCGTCGAAATTTTCGCGACACCACGTGAATTCTCGTAAAGCCCGTTCTACAATGAAACTTAAAACTTGAGATTTAAGCTTTAAATCTTAAACCGTAAGCGTTAAGATTTAAGCCGCTACATCGTAGTGTTTACAATAAATAAACGTTGTAAGATTATAACTTTAAGCTTTAACAATCAATCATCCAATCAGAAAGCAGACGCAAGAAAAGACAATGGTAGGCAGTGTGATAATTGGTTCTTATATCGCGCGACTTTAAAGATTCATCTACAATGAGAGTAGTAAGTCGTAGGCCATAAGAAATTGACCAAACACAGTCGATTATTCTTCTCATATTCGACTGTGACTGGTAAATTTCTTACGGCTTACGATTTACTACTCTCATTGTAGATGGACCTTAAGCCGTAGACTTTTAGCTGTAAGAATTAAAATTTCGTCAATTCGCTTGAAGATTAAAGTTACGGCTAAAGTAAAGGCGGGAACGCCTTACGAACGGAAATGACATCACGAATTAACGCCTTAAAGCTTAAATCTTAAGTCTCATTGTAGACGCCACTTAAAGCCCGTTCTACAATAAAACTTAAGACTTAAGATTTAAAAGCTTTAAATCTTAAACCGTAAGCGTTAAGACTTAGGTCGTTACATCGTAGTGTCTACAATAAATAAACGTTGTAAGATTATAACTTTAAGCTTTAACGACCAAGCATCCAATCAGAAAGCAGACGCAATAAGAAAAAGCAATGGAAGGCAATGTGATGATTGGTTCTTATTATGGTTCGCGCTACTTTAAGCCGTAAACTTTTAGCCGTAAGAATTGAAATTTCGTTAATTCGCTTGAGGATTAAAGTTAAGGCTAAAAGTAAGAAGGCGGGAACGCCTTACGAACGGAAATGACATCACGAATTAATGCCTTAAAGCTTAAATCTTAGATCTTAAGTCTCATTGTAGACGCCGCTTAAGGCGCAACGAGGGGTGCGCGACTACGCACTACTCTAAGGCTGAGGCCCTCTCCGACCGCGGGCGAAACGCCGCGAAACGCACTCTCGGACGTGGCACAGATTCGCGAAACGTAGTTTACAACTTTCACCACGACCGCGCGCCATTCCTTGATCCCTTTAACGCGGTGCGCGCGTTACGGAAGCGGAGATTTGAAACAGCACACCCGAAGGGTCTCCGGCGACAACAATCGGTTGCGCCGGACCCTTCTGGAATGTTTGAATATCGGAAACAGCGTTGAAATCGGAACCGGGTCCAGTTTCCTAATCGACTTCCTTGGAAGGACCTCGAGAAATTATTCCATACTTCGCTCGGTCGAAATCAATTTTCCAGAGTTTTGAAATAAGGATGTTAAACCACACTGTTACATTATAATAATTAGTAATTTCCGCAGAAGTTTCAGTTTTAACGCTATTTCCTATTTAAACATTCCAAAAGTTCAGATTTGTTTTTTCAGCTAAAATTATCACTGAAAAAAAGTATTTTTCAAGCATATGTATACAACGCTCTCTTCATCGAGGCAGTTCACAGACAATTTTGCAAGACAGAGAAGCGAGATTTGTTAACAAAGTTTCAACCTGGAACTTTGAAAAAACGTAAAATTAACTCTGCAAATATGAAGACTTTTAAAACCGATTTTTTTTTTAATAACGCGTGTAGTTTTGTATCGACGACGAAAGTTTAGTCGCTCAGCTGTTTGAGCTGAAATAACGCTACATCAAAATCAATAATGACGCGAAGGTCGTTGTATTTATGCTGTCAGTCCAATTGTCGGCGATCATCCAGACACCGATAATTTAATGTCACGAATCAATTATAACATTATCAAACATATTACACGGTATATCCAATTTTCATGAATTAGCTCGATACAAACAATACAAACTGATTGCAATAATTTTGCAATGACGAGCATAAACGCAACTTTATTCTGCATATATTTTTTTCTTATCTCATTTGAGTGTTATATTTATTGCCTCATTATTGAGATCTGTTAATTATTTATTTAATCAAACGATTCATCCCTTTCTTTCGATTGGGAGCCTATCTGAAATTAATAGTTTTTCCCAACGTTTATCCCATGTCAAAATAAATCGCTCGCACTTTCTATGACTTTTTCCATCTGTATTATATAATTTTCAACAAACAAAAAATAGAGAGCGAATGCTGTTGCAGAAATGCCTTAAGAGGATCCTAAATCCTAGATCAAACTCCAAAAATCCGCTGTTTTACCGACAATTTGTGAGTATGTATGCGTGCGATATTGATGTAGTAGTGTGTAGTGATGTGTCATGTTTATTACCACATCAATATATCTCACGCATACATATACACGAATTTGTAGGATACAAATGTATTTTTATTTAGGCTTCTAAATTTGATTTTAACGACTCACCTATATTCATTTCTTTATTGTACATCTGGCTCTGCCTTCATTTCGAGCATATAACCTGCCTAACTTTTTCACGAAGTAAACGTTTTGGTAAATTGATAGTATTAGTCGCCATGTTGAGGTTAAAATGGATAACGAAATCTGTAATTTCTTAATTTTTTCCTGTTTTTGGTACAAAACACACCAGAGCCAGATGCATTAGCATGTGTGTTTTAATCGTGGAAAAGGAAATTTTATTCTATGCGATTAATACGAAGTATTTTGTATCCAACAAAAATGGTATTTTTGTTGATAAAACAGACGGCTTTAGCATCCTCTTAACCGATGGCTTCCAAATCATTGAGAATCAAGTCCTCGGCTCTCCGGTCTCTCGGTGGAGTAGTAGTCGGTTAACCAGCGGATAATTAACGTCGCGTTGATAATATTTAGTGCTCGGAATGCCCGGGCCGGTGTTTACCCCGCGTGCATATTCGCGCCCCCGAGGCCGGACGAGCGATCATTAAGAAGCGAGCGCGGCGCGGTGATTAATAACAAGAGTACGCGGAATATTCCGGGTACAACCCAGAGAGCGCGGCGCTTCCGGTAACGAATTTCGGGACTATCGTTCGACCCGCGATCGATACTCTACGCATTAGCGCATTATACATACATCGCGTTCGCTCGCGCGACCGTGACGCGCGCGACGGATTCCGTAACGTTAAGGTAACGGATTCCGATCTACGACGAAGAGAAGAGAAGAAGAGGGAATAAAGATCCAACATTTTTTCCGAAGAAAAGAAACGCGTCACGCTAAATCCGTCGAATACGAAGATTACGAAAGATCAAGAAATCCCCACCTCTCTGCTGCCTGCATCGGTGCAAATCGGACTTTCCCCCGAACTCGTGATCCCGACCTTCACGTGCCACGATATTTCTTCCGCGTATTGGCAACCTTGTAAAATCACTATGCTAATTAGAACGCGCTTAGTTGCAGCGAGAGACAAAGATAAACAGAGTAGACATAAAACGTTGCGATAATGCGGGAATGATAATTGCGCGAGCGTCCGTATATGCGTCTTAAGAGAGACCCCGAGAGACGGACTTGTAACTTGTTCCTTGACTGACTGACAACACGGCAAAAAGTATACATTATTGCGGCCTTATTCAAATTCTATGAAAAAATCCAAGAAGGCTTTCTGTGATTTTCCACCGGATTTGTGATGTCATCGTGATATCCGTGCGCGCTAAACATCCGGTGCTATAAACACGAACGACGAATGCGAGAGAGGAGAATGATTTCTTTCGCTGAGCTAGCTAGAATCAATTTTAATGTAAATAAACTATTGCAAACGCATGCTCAAATGAATTTCGACGAATCATCAGGATCTCGGTTAAAAAAATGGCCTTCAGCAAACGAGCAGGAGATAAGACGGTTCCTTTGAATCTTTATTCGACGCGATCGATAAGATAAATCACTCGAGTTAGACCTCGAGGTCTGTGTCGCGAAAAAAGCAGTGAAAACTGCATATAGACAGATAAGCGTCTTTGCGATTTATATGACAGATAAATGTATAGACGAATAGATACGCGGACTTTAAAGAACGATTTTGCTGAAGTGTCCAAAAATTTTGTTAGATACAGGTGAAAATAATTTTGTTGATCACACGGAAAGAACGATTATGTTGAAAGGTCTAAAAATTTTGCTAAGAACAGATCTGAAAATAATTTTTTATTGAATCATCAAAATAATTTGTTGGAATGTTAAAGCTGATAAGTAATGCTATAAAACGTTTTGGTATTCTAGCAATTATTTCGACTTTCATACAAAATTATTTTGATTATTGAACAAAAATTAATGGATTCAGCAACATTGTTCTTTCTGTGCACATAAAAAAAGCACTATAATTGGGAAAGTCAAGCTAATCGGGGATGCTGCAGAAAGTTTTGACATTCTAACAATCAGCTTGACCATTCTACACAATTATTTGGATAGTCCAACGAAGTCAGTTTTCCTGTAACTGGTTCAATTTTTTAACATTTCAGCAACGTATTATTCTTTCCGTGTATCCATATACGAAAGCGAATGTAACTGGATAAATTATAAGAGATATATTTGTCGACTATGTATACTGATATTGAAAAAAAGCTGACAGGTATCAACTAATAGTATGAATAAATTATGAATGACTGACAGATCGGATCGAGAGGAAATACGGCATGATTTTCTTTTTCAACGTACGAGAAAATGTACCCGTTCCAAGATCGATCGCGTCGGGAAAGAACTTGGACTTTCTCGTCTCCGGAGAATCGACGCCATGGGACCCCAACGACACGTCACTGTCGCACGCGTGTGGTACGCGCGCGCGCGTATGTGTGTGTATGTGTGCGCGCGGGGCAGATTTGCCAGGGGTGAGTCGAGATCTCAAGGGTTGCAGGGGTAACCCACTGTCGTGTACGGTTTATTGGGGAGTG